AGAGATATAAGACAAAATCAACAATAAGTCATCCAAATCAAGTACTAAAAAATCCAAAACAAAATCATATAAGAGCAAATAATTTTTTATATTTGATAACATTTTTCGCAGAATTTTAGAGAAAAAACTTAAGAAGAAAAAACTCTAAAAAGTAAAGCAAAATCAAAAAAGCAAGAAGATTAAATTATTTATAACTCCATCAAATAAGGTCGGAAAAACCTCGGGCTAGAATCATTCGAAAGCCCAAATTTGTATAATATAATAGTGCTTTTGTTAGAATTAAAAAAGAAGAACTAAAATAAAAAGAATCAAAAAAGGCAAAAAAAAAGATAGAAACTCACTTATAACCGTATTAGAATCCTGCCATAATCAGCAACATACCCCCCTTATTACAGAGGCCTGTATGGCACCCTATACAAGGCCTTTATTCATCTTTTTAACTGTAAAAGACGAGAGGGGTACCCAGAAGCTCCCTTTCGAACAGTACTAGTAATTATAATTTCACGCTCTTTTAATGCTATAGCAGACTACTAACAAAGAAATAAATTATCAAGAAATAGCTGAAAAGAAAGCCTATTTTGAATATAAATATCAAGATATTTAACTAGATGAATAACTACAGATTAAGTAGGATTCAAGTAAACAGAAATCTCAGAGTTTAAAACAAAAATAGAAATTCGTTTTTTTAGATCTTTTAACCCTTCTGTTAGGCCAGGTCTAGTGCATTCCTAGTTATAGATATAACTAGAATCTCCTAAAGCAAAACTTGAACCCTGTAGGAATAGGTTTGCTAGGAATAGTGATTTTTTGAGTAGTTCTTCCTCTTCAAATTTCAACATAACTTCATTAATAGTAAGATTAGAAGAAGAAAGCTAATAAACAGAGCATTTCTGGCGTAAAATAGGAAAAATAGGATCTAATTTATCCTACTAATTGCCTTAAACAGGGTTTAAATCACAGTCTTTGAAATAGAAATTACACAAAATTTACTTAAAATGATTTTTTGATAAAGGAACTTGAGCTAAAATACTGTTATTTTTAAAGCAGAAGGTTCTAATTAGGTGTTTAAATAAAGCTAGCTTTAATAAACACCCAAAGAAGTAATATAGCTCTTGAATTTCAAGAGTTTTCTAAGGATTTTAAGCTGAATTCGTTCGAAAAGCGTAAGAATTTGTTGCTTTAATAATAATCAACATAGTTTCCCAGTTGAAAAACAGCTTGAATAGGCATAATGGGTGCCAGTGCTTCTCGTTATCAAGGTTCTAAGGGCGCTCGGAATGAGTATAGATCGGAATTGGCTCAAAATAAGGCAAAGGGCGTAGCAAATCGTTAATTTGGTAGTCTTTAAATGATTCTTCAGCTTCTTTAGAGCTAAATAGGAGGTCATTTAGCTTAGAATCAGCTGTAGAATCATCAGGAACAGAAGGAGCTATTAATATTAGCAAGATATAACAAGATATCTTATATATATATAGCATAAAACTTACTTGTATAATTATTTGGTTGATTTTGGATCCATTTTTGAGGGATTTGAGGTGCTCTTTGAGTGTCATTAAGTGCTATTGATGATAAAGAAGCTAGGGGCTCTTGAGAAGCGTTTTAGGCAGCTGCCAGGGGGGGGGGTGGAGTAAAATTCCGGTCGAAAAGGGATATTCACAGAGATATGTGGCCATATCTTGTGCGTTCGGCGTCCAATCAGGCTCGGAGGAGGTTTATTCTGACCGGACGGATTTTCTCTATTTTCTGACGAAATTTCGTCCTCAAAAACGCGAAATTGAGGGAGTTGGAACGCTTTTCGTGCCTTTTTGCGAGAAGAATTAGCGTTTTGCGTGGTGAAATCGGTATCAAAAGCGCTAAAAGAGGCGGTATCTGCTTGAGGACGCTTATTTGAGCGTCCCTGAGCACTCCCTTCTGGTTGAATAATAGAAGGCATTGAATGCAGAGCTAATTAGAGCGATTTTGGTCAAATTTGGAGGATTTTGAGTGAAAATGGATGAAAATAGCTCAAAAGACGCGGTTTTTTTTACGTTTGAACGCGTAAATAGCAAATTCAGAGTGCTTAGAAGTGCTGAGAGCAATTATATACAGATTTAAGCTGTTTTAGTGCAGAATTAATGATGTTTAAAGCTAAATAATAGAGAAGTTGTATCTGAAATTTTGATGTTCCTTATGCCAAGATTCTTGCAATTTGATAGCGCTAATTTAAGCTTAAATCACAGCAACGCTATCTCAATAAGGAAGAAGGCCCATTCAGTGACACAGGGGATAATACAATATTATATTTAAATCTAAATGACATTTGCTTACTCCTTCTAGAGCCACTCTCTGATTATCCATTCAAAAAAGACTTAGATGATAACGCTCTAGATCTTCTAATCTTGACCTACCTAGGCTCGCGAAAATACGCCACAGTCGCCCGCTCTCCGGAAATATAAGAACATTCGTTAGTCTCTTTATGAAAAGCATCCGCTTGGCATATCTATGACGTGAGCCTATTAACACTCTTTCCCGGCTATATAAAGACCAAGCCACATCTATAGAACATATTGGCGTATAGAAAGGTCGTTCGATATTGGCCCGCTTGATCAAGAAAAACGGTTTTCAGATGATAGAAATGAAACGTAAAGGTAGGCCAAACCGTTTTTATAAATAAGTATTTTCTTATCCTAAAAATAGACGTACATGAAAAGTTCATTATTAGAATCAATCTTGTTAAAAAGCTCAAAACTGGACCCCTAGAGATGGCATATGGATAACTATAGCCAGGGGACCCCTTTTAAGGGCCCCTTCTCCCCAGCTCTACTATTCACTGATCGTCATATGTGAAACCGAGAATATTGTGAGTTGGTGATCTGTGCTGGTTGCGTTGCATGTAGATGGAGGGGAAGTCATGATAGTAGAAGAGCGTACGAAGAAGGAGTGATCAAAATTGTTCGAGTATGATTTGAGTACAGGCTAATTGATGTAGAAGACTCTGGGTGAGCTGCAGCGAATAGTACGAGCTCTAGACACCCAATCTTAGTAATGGTTTCTTGGCAAGGTGTGCACGTAAATCTCCGAATTAGGAAATACAGGATACAGTAAGCGCGATTTCAAAATGCGCGAAGATAATATATACGCGTTCACCTCGTTTCAAATCCTCTTCTTTTCGTCATGCACACTATCTTCTCACAGCAGATATCATGTCTGACGTCAATGATATCACAGGCATAGAAGATGAAAAGCTTAGAAAAGCTTTAGTTCTACAAAGTAGAGTGGCCTCGCTCATTGAAAGCTCACAACGTCTTCTAGATTTAAGACGACCAGAACGTCCTCCTCCACACATACCACTTGCACAGCGGCCTTTTGAGCCGGATCGCACGTTGCTTACCAAGGAGCAAGTTCGAATGTATTACGCGTGGAGCTTGGACAGACTCCATGGCCTATCAGCTGTCGTTAGAGAAAACGTTCAGCGACGCATGGACAATGCCGGCGATTCTACGGCTGATGCCACAACAAAAAGGAAGCCGTATCGTCACATGATCGACGATTTCGAAAACAATGAGTGGAAGAGAATGCGCTGGCCAATTGGTAGTATGCATAGAGATGTTCTCGACAGCCTCATGAACGGCAATCTCATCTCTCGACAACGCGAGGACGTCGATTTCCGCGCTCGAACCGCAGATAGCACACGTTTAGCTGCAAATCCCGCGATCTACCTACTTCAGATCGTCAATGTCGAATTCCTGAACCAGCAACCGCGTCCCCACGAGGGCAAAGGTCTCTCTTGGCGAGAGTGGAAAAGAACGCTACAAGCGCTGACGCAGTATCTGACTGAATCAGAAGCAGGAATTCATGGAAGAGATAGCTGGGTTGACCAAGTCGACGGCAGTCTCATCGACAGAAGTCGAGAACCCTTCGGCAAGGACCAGAAATGCAGATTCCTAACTAACAAGCGTCAGAAGGAAGTGCTGCATGAATTCGTTCGAGCGGCAAAGGAATTGTACGTCGACAAGGGACAGGCACTGGAAGACGTCAATCCTGCAGACCCTGCCTTGGATATTACTCTGGCTCGTGTTCCGCAAGAATGTGGCTGGTCAATATCGGGTATTGAATGAGCTGCTGCATAAAAAACTGCAGGTCGATTCTCAAACACCATTTTCGGCCTCTTCCACTGCGTTCTTCGAGAGCTATGGGGTAGGGATAGATGGGAAGTCGTAAGTAGCAAGCTTGTCGACGTCACTGACCCATTAGATGCTCCAGTGGCCGAATGTCTCTGCTCTGAAATAGTGCAGACATACTGGTATCAAGATGGTTCAAATCCTGCTCTGGCCGGAGGAATGATGGTTGCTGGTAAGACGAGATCGTTAACGTCGGAGGATTACAAGTACTATTGGAAAGAATCCAAAGATGTTCTTGTACGGCTTAATATTCTTGGGGACAATCTCGCCTACTACAAAAAGCTGAGAGAAGACACTGGGCGAACGTTGGATGCGGTGAAGATATGCTCAACCGACCAGCGATGGGACGAGATTGAGAAAAGTCAAGGGCTATTGAAAGCCCAACTTGATCATATCAAAGAGCGTGCTGATGCCATTGTGCTCACTCCCCATATCGAAAGCATTGAAGAATGGGTTGTGGAGAACAACGCATACCTGGAAAGCAAGTACCCTACGAAAGCAGGTGAAGCTGACAGGAGCGCTGATGCTTGATTGCTCTCTTCCCAATAGAATAGTGCTACGTTGACTTCAAAAAGGAGCAACGCAACCAAACGTGGTCTTGTCATGTTCGTGTAGCGCACGATCGTTGATGCCACACTAGCTGTAGATCGAATATATGATCCTCAGCCACTTTTTCCTTCAGATTTCAGTGTGTACTCCGTATGTATGTTAGGAATGCTCTTTGAGGGTCCAAATGGTGGTCGGGGGCCTCGGTAAGGAAGTTCCTTCAAACTGATCCCGCTTTTGCCGCTGTGGGACCTTGGCGCTTGGCGTTAATAATTTGTCCCGTCTTTGCATGCATAGATTTCTGAATAGACACCTACACACATCCGCGTATACACGCTTTTGGCCTCACTGTGCCCACACCGCATGCGTGTCGCATTTAGGGAAATGTATGACCCTACTAGTAAGTTGCACCTCAATAGCCAAGACTTCGTGGCCCACAAAGCCGACTGGTAGATCGACAGCTCTGACCGCAACCTCAGGAATGGAAGATCATTTGAACGTAAGATGGCCTGAATGCCCTGTTCGGCACGTCTATTCTCTGTTGGCAACCAATTCGCCACCATCAGCACCTCATTAAAGCTTCGTTTGCCTATACAGCACTTGAAATTAAACTTTCTGTTGCAGAAGACCTTGTCCCTCCTCGATCATATCCTTATCCTTGTCCCTGCTTCTCTTCACTCAATATGGAGTACCCACATCGGACTTCTCGCTGAATCAAATGTAACGCTGCCATTTGCCCCACCACCTACTCTTTCCGCTCTAAACTCTGCCTGCTCATCCTCTCTCTTAGAACAGGTTGAGCAGGTCAGCAACAGGAATGGAAACAGTCAGTAGATGCTGCCACATGGCATTCATCCAAAGCTGGCCACTATGAGGCCTCCGTTCACTTCTAGAACTGTGGGTGTATATCGAAGATAGATTCTACTTACAACTGATCCAGAAGCTAACGTCTCTCCCGTCCGCTCCCGTCCGCACGGAAACGCTATCCCCGCACACAATGCGTCTAGCTCCCGCTACTGCATACATAGCCAGCCTAGGCTACTATCAGCTAAATTCAATTCGATATGTTTTACGGCTCCTACCCAGCCCAATTCGCTTAATTCATGCATCAGAGCCAAGGGGCCAATAGTCATTACACGTGCTATTACCAAAACACCTCCTTTATCGTGCAGCAACAGTGGCATCTGGACCTAATACCAAGGCGCGGCTCACACCTTCTGATTCTCCACATTCATTCAACCTGTCGCGGAAAATCGGCTACGATGACGAGGTACCGAGCCAGTACGATCCAAATCAGCCGTGCGAGAAGCTTTCCATTACGTACTCACTCTCACCTCTATTCCCTGTGTCACTGAATGGGTTATATAATTAATGTCTTTTAATATTTATCATTTATAATCTTCTTTATTTAATTTATTTAATAATTTAATCTTA